TTTGCTCCATTCTTCCTCAAGAGATCTTTCAGGTTTTTAGATTTCCTTTGATGTCAGGCTTAGCCTTAGGAAGGCTATCCGTTTCCACACTGAATTGAGTCAGCAATTGATACCTTAATTCCTTTGAAGAAACAGACCTAGAAGCCAATTCATCTGTAACATTTCATGCTTGGTTTCTAAATACATCTCCATAATCTCCCTTTACCTACAAGCATTCTTCTCAGGCAGGTATCAATACTACATTTCAATGGGGAGAGTCGCTACTGCAAAGTAAAAGAGTTCACTCTGGAATATTAAATCACTTTTGCATAATGTGTTCTCAGCTACCACAGAGATTTCTCAGAATCAGCAGTTTGAATTATTGCTTAACACACTTTTTCCATACTGGCAATTTCACATGAACTAGATTTCAAGACCCCTTATGCATAGTCTGCTAAGCTTTAGGCTGGATGAATTTTGAATGTTAGATAATTATTTTTTTATGAGATATTATATCTAAATACTTTAGCTGTAAAATAACAGCCCAAACCCCTCAACAGCTTTCCTATATATAAGAGACTAGAGCAACTACAGCATTTTGCTGATTTGAAAGGTTTTAATGAGAGAAATAATTTCCAAGCAAAAATAAACTATGGTATTCTGCTCAGCCTTTCTTTTTAGTAAAATCTAATAATTAGCAATGAAATCCTCAATTTCCAGAAATTCTATTCTTCAGTGCTATTGCCTAAAAAGAACACTAATGCTCAGAATTAAGCTTGAAATGACCAACTTCAATATTTAATGTTAGACTAGCCAATGTTTACTACAAGAACCCATTAACTCTCACAGTAAAACAGTGATGCCATCACAGAGAGGCACTAAGATATGAAATGCATAAAATCCACAGCTATTCCTGCAGCACACCAGACAAACATCCCTAAACTTAAGTGACATTATAAAGGTAAGCAGCACATGTAAACTAATTTTCCTTATGTTTTCTTATGAAACTATGAAAATGTACATGGATATTTGTAAAGAACACCACTGTAATATATTTAATTTATGCAGGGGAATGAGGAACAGCTCTGGTGCTGACAGTCACTTCTGTGCCTATTAACTATTCATAAAAAACTCAATAACATTGAAAGAGCCTTTGAAGCAACAGTAAAGGCTTGACAAAGTTTTTATCATATTAAATATAAAACTTGAAATTTCATGTTTACAGCTACCACTACTCATTAGTCAGACAGTGAGTTTTTCATGCTGAAAACAGCAACCACCCCAAGCAACAAAATACAGGTATTTTTTTCTTCCATAGTCCCAATGAAACAGGTACATGGATCCCACCTTTCAGAAGAGCTAAACCAGACTTACATCTTGTATTAAAACCAAATTTTTGTTTAAATTGAAGTAGAAATAATCTGAAACTACCAAGTTATGTATTTTTTAATGGTTTAAAGTGTTATTAACAGAAATAATGTATTGTGACTTCACTGAACAAGTATCTTCAAAAAGCAGTTTCTCCAGGTTTACACCACATCAGTCTTTGGTTACTCTTCCTTTTGCTTTTATTCAAACAAAATCCCGTGCAAAATGATTTTATCATGTATCCAAATCTGCCATGAATTTATGAAAAGGGAATGATTTTAGAGACTTAATCCTTAGAAGCAAACTTTAATGATAGAAAAAAATACACTGTCATTTTTAAACAATAGCAGAGATTTTAATTCCCTCTCACAGATAAGCAGCATTAAGTACCAGATGTTTCAGAAGACAAAGGCCTCATCCTGCTCCTATGGAATTAGTAGTTTATGTGCAGGGGAAGCAAACAGCAGTGTTAATACTCAAGAATAACACGAATCACTCAGTTTCTTAAAACCCTTGGACTCATGAACAAGTGACACTTCTGAAGGTGTTGAAAGCTTTCAGGTAAAATTTCATGCTGGCTGGGAGAAACTGCTTATTGAACAGGTCTCCAAAAAGGTTAATGGAGATTTTTAGAGATTATAACTTCTGCAAGTGTCAACTAATATAATTTCATCTAGACTCCAACTGGAATTCTCATATTTGGCATTTTTTTACATTGTTTGAATTCTCACCAAGTTCACTGCTTAATTTTGAATTCTTACGCTGCAGATACTAAGAAACCAAAGAGCAAGCTGTAATTAAAAAAAAACATGCAATATATATACGGCTTGTACTTGTTGCTAGGCTACTAAAGCCAGTTATGACTACAAGGCTGTTATAGATTTGTAGCTGCATTTCTGACACAGCAATGTAACATCAATTACAGCAATAAAGACAACGATTAAAGTCAGAAATCAAGACTTCTTTCAGTAGGAGTGCAGTAACCTGGGTGCATCAGCAGCTTTCCAGTTCACAACATGCACTGAGTCAAGCAGCTTTCACTGATGCTTTCAAGTTCTCTTGCTAAGATTTCAGAACTTCAGGAAACTTAAACACAATGAGCTCAACCACCACTGAACTGGAAAGGGACCATCTGAGTGACTATCTCCTTCAGCTGATAAAATCTTGTGGGTTACAGAACAAGCAGGACAGGTTGGTCATCTGCCAAATCATAACTACCCCTCTGATCCAGGGTACTGAAACTGCAAAGAAAGTCAAATACTTGCAAGCAGAAAGTGTGTAACACCATACTAATGTGCCTAAGGTTTTCCTGGTGGCATCTGATAAGAATCTCAGATTGTTTCAGTGGCCAGAGTTTTCCCAAGTACAGAAAAGCACAAGCACACACTGTAAAGTTTAATTGTTAATATTCAACACACTCTGTGAAAAGTCATCTTTTTTTGGATACCCAAGAGGCTTCTTGTTCTTCAGTGTATTATAAGCAAAATTCGTTGAGTCACATTTCCCCAAGTGCAAATTCTCAAATATAGTTTCTCGAGCCAATTTAGTCTCACAGAAATTGATCTTTCTTTTACCAAAACAAGAAGCAAAGGGAATATCACAGCAGTTTGACAGCTATATTGCAACCCCCTCCAGTGAGGAATAAATACAGCTCATGCTGAGGCAGACAGATGTTGAGGTTGATAAAGGTAAACAGAACCATGTAAGAGGTAATTAGCAGAGGCCAGATAAGTCACCCGTGAATAACTTAACCCTTCAGTGAATCCAATATTGTTTTCAGCCCTGCTGAGGGCACAGGAGCCAAGCAGAAAGATTTCAATTAGCTCCCAAAGCACTGACATTTGTAACTACTACCTCCATTTCTTATCTCTGTGGCTTGGAGCATCATTGCTGCATCCCCACAGACTTTGACATGCCTTTGTCAATTTGCAGCTTTTCTAGAAGTGGGAGCCCTCTTCTTCCCTTCCCCCAAATCCTGATGTTATTTTGATATCACTGGGGTTAGGGAAGGAAGGGAAGAGATATTTCTCAATTAACTGGAGGAAACAGTTAGAAAAGCTCACAAAAGAAATGCAAACGGGTCATTAATTAAGAGGATGGTTTATTTATACTGTCTGACCTTACCCTTTGGTAAGGTAAAGTGAGCTTAGCCAGCCATCCATTTTAATCATCCAAGTGCCAGCACAAACAAAGCAAACAAAAATGTCACTTACAAAACCAGGGATCTTCTCCATGAAAAGCAGGATGCAAATTTTTGATTTTAAGGTAGATAGCTACTGAATCAATGCTGCCAGTACAAAGGACTGAAGTCTCTACATCTCAACTTACCCAAAAGGCAAAACCTCAGAACAAATTATGAAAATTACAAACATTCCTAGATGAAGCTACATGTTTTTTATTTAGCAAGTCAGGTTGATCAGAAAAGCTCTTTTTTTAGAGCTTTCTAGAATCTGTTCTAACTATGCAAACAATAGATCCATGAAGACCATCTGATGAGCTCTGAAGATTAAAATTTTCATGAAAACATAGAGGCTTAACTCATCAGCATCTTCCATGGCACTAACTGCATTGATTATTCACTCCATTCACTCAAAACAAATCAACTAGCAATTTCATATGAAAACACATTTTTAACTGCAAGAAGACTGCATGAAAGGACTTGTACATCACATGCTCACAAGTTGAATTTAAAATGCCTTTTTCTCATGTCAAACAAACAAAAACCCCCCATGTGTTTCATTCAAGATGCTAAGCCAGAAAATTTTAAACAACATTGTAAATAGTATTCATTGAACATTGTTATTTAGTTGGTTGAGTGCTTCTGTTTGGCCACAGCTGAGCAAGCTGTAAGGCACACCTACACAGGTAAGTCAATGCAAACATATAATATACAAATATATAGACAATTATACAGTGCACACACATGGTTGGTTTACTCCCCACTCAGCCTGGCATTTCCATTCCGTGTCATGCAATATTTTCTAATATATGATTGACAAGTTTCTGTATTTGATAAAGGTAGTATCAGACACTCTTAACAATGTAAACAGTTTATTTGAAACCTAATGACAATACTCACCATGAAATTTAACACTGACTACCCCTATTCTGAACCCCACCACTACCCCCATTATCATCTAAGGCTATTGGTATCATAGGTTATTCATGTGTATTCACATGCTATATATAAACTGCAGATTAATCACACAAAACAAGACTCTCTAGTGGTTAGAAATAAATGCAGTAGTTCACTGGAAAAAACAATTTATCTAATTGTTTAGATACTCTAAAGTGCTCTAAAGCATTTCTCCATAAATTAAAAAAAATGCTTTATTGCAATCCTTTATAGCCTAATATTGTTTCTAATTTCTAGGACACTTACCTTGTAATAGTGAATTTTCAAATTAAATCAGGTTACATTTTTTACAGAGGGAAGCAATATCAGACATGATGAATGAACATATGTAGAATTCCTTCCCATTTAAACATGATCATCACACATTTGAACCTGTGCAACAGACACTAAGGAAAAAACTGAAATCCTTTTACCTTGTGTACCTTTAGATGGTAGATGCATCTTCCCTCTTTGCCTGGCTTCAGTCAATGCAAAAATAAATAGAAAGCTTCAACTCACAGAAATGAGAGTTACTTACCAATTTGTAACAATACAGGTGTTACCAAAGCTGTCTCCATGGCATAACAAAATTCCCTGCCAAACATTACTGCACCATGCATCACCCACAGGCGTATCGGTATCCGGTCTATGGATCCTTCACTAATGGTCTCCTCCCTACTTTCATTCTCCTTGTTTTCTGGTTTCTGAAGCTGTGCCACAGGTAGATCTTGAACTTGCATAGATTCCGAGTCAGCATTCTGAGGAGCCATTTTCATTACCATAAAAAATATATATATTTGTTATATCTATATAAATAATACTACCATAACTCCACGAACAAGTTAGGGTGTCTTCTCTTTCAGCTTCTGTTCCTCAGGCAAGTAATGCTTATATTCCTCTTGTACAAACAGGTATCTTGCAACTTCTTGTATAGATATGAGACATTAAGAATGAAAAGCTATTTGGTAGGTATTTCAACATATGGCTTGCTGGTTTACTGTGAGTTAGAGTTAAAAATCCATAATTGCCATTCAGTTAATACCAGTTTCATAATTATTATTGAAGAAGTGCTGAAGTTGTTATTCGTGCTACACAGAGGTGGAAAGGCGACACAAAGAGGTGCTCCACTGTTAATCCCCATCGAGTGGCTGATTAATCTGCAACAAAAAGCAAGCATTTAAAAATTTCAATAGGATTTTTCAGGATATTGTGTTCCCCCCCTTAACCATATAACCTATTTCCTGCTTCATGCTTTCCATTGTCCTTGCCTAGTGCAGGGTCCTTTATTCCACATTCCCTCCCCTACCTCTGCACTTTCCATTGAAAAGCAGTTGTGCCTTGTATTTAAATGATGCTTTACTGTGTTCCAGTTCCTCTGGTTTGTGGTCCTACACAAAGCCACAGAAGAATGTCAGGGTACTTGTCCAAGATCCTCTGAACACTGCGCACAAGACCAAAATTCTGGGAAATTTAAAGCAGGTTGCATTTCAGAAACAGCATAGGATATTCCAGTTCTATGCCAGGAAGATGATTCATCAATTACCATGGTCACATGGACATCTCCATTTAGACTTTTGGAAACTGCAAGTTAATTTGCAGTAACTATCACACCATTTTATAGTGAAGATATTTCTCAAGGAAGCATGAGCAAAATAAACCATGATGAATATAACTAAGGATTGATATTTAAATATTTAAACTTTAATGAAGATATACACAGCATATGAATTCATCCTCTTTCTGCACACAAGACCGGAGCATCTACTCCCACATCCTGTGAGGCTGCTGAAAGTTGTGAAAGCAGAATGGTAGAATATCTTCCACATTAAAATTATTAAAATATATTCTAACCAGGTAAGACAAGCTTCTTCTGTACCTTCCCCTTCTTATGCCATAGACAAAATCTAAATGTGTCTAAATGCCAATCAAAATGTGTTTAAACACTTAAGAGATGAAAACAAAGCATCTTATAAAAAGTCATGTTACATAAACTTTGTATTAGAAGGATGCATATTTACATCTCTGCACACAGGGTGACTGAGCTGTGATCCCAGGACAAAACTCCTCAAGGATATGGTTCCATGAAAAGCTGGCTTTGGCAGCAAAGCTGGCCTCAGTAGAAGTCCCCATGCTGCAATTCCCTGTCTCTTCAGTTGTGGCAACAAAAACTCTGTGGGCTTGAGCACACACCAGATCATTGAGCGGTGAGCCTAAAACTGAATCTTTGGAAACAGATGCCATGTTTGGTGTTTAAAGCACATCACAAGAGCAGCTCTGTTTCAGTGTGACCTGAGACACTGTTCTACTAAAAGTGCATCATGAAAACACCATCTTGAGCACTCCCTCCTGCTGACGCCCTCTTTTGAGCTGTTTACTGCACATATTTTGTTCTTCCCTTCAAAAGCATGTTTTTTTGGTCCACTTCTTCTTACAGGCTCCCCAGTATTACTGGAATTTTCACATTTAATCACCTCAAAAACACGCTAATACTAAAATTTTATTTTGAGCTGGACAAACCTTTAAATTCCTTGAGAAAGTTAAAATAACTTACTGAACTAGTTCTATAAACCAAGTTTTAAGTTCAAGTTTTTTTCCATAAGCATTAAATAGCTCAGAACAAAAAGGACTTGGAAAGCATTTCTCTACCCACTCAGAATTAACAGAAATTAAGATGTTAGTTTATCATAAATGTAAAGTACCCTGTATATTAAAAAAAACATTATCTACCTTACATAACACAAGTTCTGAGTGAGTAAAACCTACAAAATACATGTTCCAGAGTAGGAGCAATTATTTTAATTACAGACTAGTCATAAAATGTTTCACTGCTGGCAGACTCAGGCATCATGACATTCAGTAGAATTTGAAAGTATACATGTAAGCTCTTAATATCCAAAAATCAGCAGAACATGTATGTTGTATTACAGACTAAGGGTCTGTATGGATTACTCTCCTGCACAATCTGGCTTTAGAGTCTCTACTGTTTTCTCATGCCTGATTTCCCCTCCTGTGAAGGATTTAATTCCCTTTCCCTAAACACCTCCTTCCATATGCAGTTCTAGGGTGAGATACTGAGAGGAAGGCAGTTCATGACTCCAGAGTATTCTGAAAGGCACTGAGGCAGCTTGCACATGGCAAGGAGGATGACACCAAGCCAGGAGCATTTGTCCTGGGAAAGGATAAAGAGGAAGGACAAAAGAGGATATCTGAGATTTAGCCCATTTGAGCAAGGCTCTTAAGGGGATGACTGAAAAAGTTATTTCTGAAGTGGAAGATGACAGGGAGTGATCAGATAATTTAAGAGCCAGGAATAATGGGTGGTAGATGGAGGTAGACTTTGAAGCTGTAATTGACACAGATAAGAACAGCATATTTTAAACATGCCAAAAAAGCAGTTACAGTGTTCAAGTGCAATAGGAGGAGGCACAATGGACAGGTTTTATCTAAAAGAACAGAGAATTACTGTTCCATTATGTCAATTTTGTGGTAAGCATAACGCTAGACTTCCTGCAGCACTTTCATCTGACTCCAAGTGCACATCTAATACAAGAGCCAGAGAATAACAAGAGCCTCTCAGAAAGGTCTTCAGTTCTTTCCTAAGCCCTGCTCAGTTGTGTTCATACTCATTTTAGACTGATATATATTTTGTTACTGCTTTTTCCACGTTCATTTTGAATTTGGCAAGTTAGAATAGTGGCATTCTTTCTTCTCGAAGAGGGAGACAAATTCATTTACCTGATGGAATATAAATATAACGGAGGCTTTCATGCAGCAAAGAACTCCAAAGTAAATGGCACCTGAAGAGAAGTTGGATTAAAATACCAATGCAGAATTCTGATGTCTACATCCAGCACTAATTGTTTTTCCTGGCTAGTTTTCAAGGGCATTTTCATAACTAACAACAAATAAAGCAGTAGAATGAAGAATTTCATCCATGGGAGAAGATTCCTGTTGGGCATTGTACACAGGTTAGGTTTAATATACAGAAATATTTCTGATCTTGACGAGTGTTTATGGGAGGAGGGGACTGATGACAATGGCTCTTTGTCAACCCAACTGCCTGTTTTACTCTGACCTTTGGCCATGTTTTAGCAATGACAAAAACCTATAAAGCAATAGTTAATATTCCAACAAAACAGGTGAGTAATGTGTTTCAAAACCTAATCCGTAAGCAAAATTTTATAAAGCTTCTCAAATTGTTTGTAATCTCATCTGTTATACTTTTACTACCTACCTTCCACTGAGGCACAATATGACTGTGTCAAACACAAAACACGCTACAGGCTTGACAAGTCAGTAATCCTGAGGCTCAAATAGGTACTGTTCACAGACAGAGCCTGTGAACCATCAAAGAACCAAAGGAAAATCACTGCCTTTCCTCAGGGTTTGCCAAAGAAGAGGAAGTGTTATATAGGTCATATCTGTAGCCCACAAAATTCCATGGTTTTCTTTCCCCTAGGGAGCACTGTAATGGTTAGGATGCACAAGAGCTCATGCTACACAATTATACAACATGATGCCTCTGGCAAATGACTTCTATACACATCTCAGTGTGTTTTTAAGTTCAGGACTTGGGGGTTTGACAAGGAGTGTTCCTCCATTTGTGATGCCACCATCTGGAGGTCAGCAGACTGGAAGTACACTCATCAATACCAAAATAAAATTAGGTTAACAGTGATCCTGCCCAAATCTTTTAAGACTGAACTATTTTTGATGCATGTTTCCAGATCTCTCTTGTTAACAAGGAATTGGAATGCACTGTTTGACAAGTAACTAGAATTTCTGAAGCAGTGCCAAAGCATATGACTGTAAGCTGTGGAGTACACAGCGTGTTTCAGGTAATCACAGACGTATTTTTTTGAGCTGTAATACAGCTTAGCAAGTAGAAAACAGTTAAATGGGTCCAACTGGATACCATGAGAAAATTTCAAATCTTTTGGAAGGTTTTCTTCCTATAAAGCCATTGGGCATTCCCTCAAGTCATTTATTGGTGTAAGAAACAACCTCAGAAGAGTTGGCAAGCACTAATTATAAAAACCCAAGACAATGAGGAAAAAAAGCACACCCCATGAAAAACTGGAATGAGCAAACTGAAATTGATGGAAACACTTCTGTCCAAGCACTACTGAATATCTAAGGAAAAAAGGAGAGGATTGAACAGATATAAAGTACCCCTTTATCTCATCCTCTTCTTTGAAGTTTATTACATTACCTTCCAGCCATTTATGTAGTTATCTCCTGTCTTCAAGATGTGCTCCTGCTATTATCATGACTCTCTTCTACATGCAAAGATACAGACTGACAAAAGTTGTCTCAAATAATGAATGGCTGCATTCCATTTTGCTGACAGGAATTATTTTCTAATGATATAGGAAATAATCTAACTCAAAGATTCTATGGTTTCAATGAATTTTACCTTCTTGATGAGGAAAGGAAGGATGAAAAGACACCTTGAGCCATCATTGCATACAATGACTTGTCATTGTTTACCACTACCTTGACAAGGGAAAATAGCTAAGAATCAATTAATCAGTTATTAAGGAATTTAAAGAGGCTTTAATAATTCTGGTTGCAGTTGTCATTACATTAGGACCTGTCAGTAATCCATTCTGCTCAACACATCAAAAAGCCCCAAACAACAACAAATAAACCCAAGTAAGTGCATTTCTTCATTAAGTATTCAAATATTTACTTAGGGGAAAAAAGTGTAAGATTGCAGAAGCTGCCAGGAGAAGATTTTCAGTGCTGCCAGAGCCTTAAAACTTACCTCCCTCCAAGCTTCAATGAGCACATCCCACAGATATCCATGCTAGCAACCACACTATTTCACCTGTGAATCATGTCAGGCTGACAAGCCTGTAAGTGCCCAATCATTCCATTTATTTGTCAAATACTTTTCTGCCAAGTTGGTTATGCTCAGGTTTTCAAGAAACCTGGCCATATCTTGAAGAGTTATCTAGACTGATTTAAGTTTAGCTATAATATTAACATTAGAAAGAAAGGCATTATGAGTTTATCTGTCTTTTCCTCAGGCTAAATAAATGTTTGGCTCTGAGTGCTTCTATTGCCATGTTGAAGACAAACACCCCTTATTATTTCTTCCACACTTCAATGCAAAGTGGACAATGGGTTCTGCTTCAGCATCTGACTGGCTTGT